CAAGCACCACCCCCCCCCAGGGACATGCACCCCCCCGGAACACATCACATACAAACTACTCGTCTCGTTCCGAATGACAGAAATAACGAATGCAAATAAATCCGCCAGCGGGAGTCCGGAGGAAAGTGACATGTGAGGAAACCCTTCATTTCCCCTCTTACATGCGACATTTCTGCAACATACGAAGCAAAGGACATGTCGCACAGAATGCCGCTAACGCGTTTCCTCCCGATCCCGACAAACAAAATAACGCAAAAACCCGAATCAAAACAAAACGCATTTCTAGCCGGCGATCGCGTCTAATAACAACATTTAAAACTCGGGTGACATGTCACATGATCTGAGGAGCTCCTCCGTGTATCCCACATACATGACCAATGCCAGAAAGTGAAGGAAAATGGTGAATTCGCATGCAGAGCAGCGCGCAGGACACACAAACCCCGCGGTATCCCGATCCCTTCCCGAGAACTTTGTATCTTTTATGAATTGTTGGGAAAATATACTTGTGATACAGACAAAGCAATACAATGTTACACACGTGTGCACGGCTTCTATCATGTGATCTCACGGGCTTCACATGGACATGCCGTTTGCTGCACTTATCCAGCCGATTGGTTTCATCTCAGCATGAATCATGGGATCGTCTGATGATGACCACACTGACATGTTTCCACTGATCGGCCGGGACTGACATGTACCCCGCGTGTTCCTTCATTCTATGCAGCGGGCTCCCCTCACTACAAGCATGTAGCATGTGCCTCTGATGGAGATCATGTGACATTCAGCTCTACATGCTTCAGAAGTATCTTTTCCCAACAATTCTTCTCCAGAAAGATACAAAGTTCTCAGGAAGGGATACACGGAGCAGCTGCTCAGATCATGTGACATGTCACCCGGGTTTTAAATACAAATTTAAATAATTGCTATAGATATTAGTATGTTATATTTTCCCAGGGAGTGTACATACACTACATATATGACCGGCCAGTGACAGTACACTACATATGACCGGCCAGTGACAGTACACTACATATGACCGGCCAGTACCCTACATATGACCGGCCAGTGACCGTACCCTACATATGACCGGCCAGTGACCGTACCCTACATATGACCGGCCAGTGACAGTACACTACATATGACCGGCCAGTGACAGTACACTACATATGACCGGCCAGTGACAGTACACTACATATGACCGGCCAGTGACAGTACACTACATATGACCGGCCAGTACTCTACATATGACCGGCCAGTACTCTACATATGACCGGCCAGTACTCTACATATGACCGGCCAGTGACAGTTCACTACATATGACCGGCCAGTGACAGTTCACTACATATGACTGGCCAGTACTCTACATATGACCATCCAGTGACAGTACACTACATATGACCGGCCAGTGACAGTACACTACATATGACCGGCCAGTACTCTACATATGACCGGCCAGTACCCTACGTATGACCGGCCATTGCCCCACATATGACCGGCCATTGCCCCACATATGACCGGCCAGTATCCTACATATGACCGGCCAGTATCCTACATATGACCGGCCAGTACTCCACATATGACCGGCCAGTACCCTACATATGACCGGCCAGTACCCCACATATGACCGGCCAGTATCCTACATATGACCGGCCAGTATCCTACATATGACCGGCCAGTACCCTACATATGACCGGCCAGTATCCTACATATGACCGGCCAGTATCCTACATATGACCGGCCAGTATCCTACATATGACCGGCCAGTACTCTACATATGACCGGCCAGTACCCTACATATGACCGGCCATTGCCCCACATATGACCGGCCAGTATCCTACATATGACCGGCCAGTATCCTACATATGACCGGCCAGTATCCTACATATGACCGGCCAGTATCCTACATATGACCGGCCAGTATCCTACATATGACCGGCCAGTACTCCACATATGGCCGGCCAGTACTCTCAGGACACACGCTATGTACACGGTAGTGCGGTTCCGCTCACCTGGCCTCCCCATGCCGATGTGGTGCAGGTCGATGGGTTTGACGAAGTCGAAGTGTCCGGGTCGGGTGACGTTGAGCTCGTCGCGGATGTTCTGGTAGAATTGTTCCAGTTGGACCTCCCGCAGGAGGTGGAGGAGCCAATCGCTTCCATCTTCAGTCACCATCTCCAAACCTGAGACACAGAGAGAGGTCAGTGCTGGTCCGTGGCGGTGCCGTGTTCTGCCGGCTCATGTGTGAGCGCCGACTCTTCTATACACACATGTGTACTGTCAATACACCCGCCGCGCTGTATACACACAACACGACACGCCCACACACACGCGCCACGCCCCCTGTACAGCACCTTCTGTACACGCTCACGTGTGGAATGTCTCTGGACGACATGTCCCGGCACGGGGGCAGGAATGAGGAAGACTTCGCGGAGAAAACACTCATCACGTGACAACATTCACTTCCACAGAACCACCGGAGAGTGACAACACCGGAGAGTGACATAACATTCCCCAACGTCGCCCGGGACTGGAAGTGACATAACATTCCCCAACACCCGGGACTGCCGAGTATAAAACATTCCCCAACACCCGGGACTGCCGAGTATAAAACATTCCCCAACGCCCGGGACCGCCGAGTATAAAACATTCCCCAACGCCCGGGACCGCCGAGTATAAAACATTCCCCAACGCCCGGGACTGCCGAGTATAAAACATTCCCCAACGCCCGGGACCGCCGAGTATAAAACATTCCCCAACGCCCGGGACCGCCGAGTATAAAACATTCCCCAACGCCCGGGACCGCCGAGTATAAAACATTCCCCAACGCCCGGGAC